TATCCACTGAGCCAAACCGGTTTTGGCCAGATAAAATCTTTTCACTATTTTTCTTCTAAATCATATGCTGGGGTGCTTACAAGGAAATCAGTTGGTAAATATACTTCTTTCCAGGTTCACTTTGCCACATGCCCAAGTTATGCTGGGTGAACACTAAGAGTTAAAAACATAGGAATCCACTCTATAGTCCAAGCTTACTGTATATATTTCAACCTTGAATTCAAGGAAAATCATATGAAATTCATCGACAGGACTTACTTTTTTAAGAGAAGAATTGGCAGAGCTGTGTCAAATCATTGTTCTCATTTTGGAATGAGACTGTAATTAATATCACCTTAGTCCAGGGGTCCTCAAACTTTTTAAACAAGGGGCCAGTTCATTGTCCCTCAGACCGTTGGAGGGCCGGACTATAGTTTAAAAAAAAACTATGAACAAATTCCTATGCACACTGCACATATCTTATTTTGAAGTAAAAGAACAAAACAGGAACAAATACAATATTTGTATTTGCATGTGGCCCGCAGGCCGTAGTTTGAAGACCCCTCAAATGAGTCTATTCATTTGACTCATTTAACAAGAGAGAAACATCGACCAGCTGCCTCCTGCACATCCCCCACTGGGGATGTGTCCGCAACCCAGGTACATGCCCTTGACCGGAATCGAACCTGGGACCCTTCAGTCCACAGGCCGACGCTCTATCCACTGAGCCAAACCGGTCTCGGCTTAACAATTTTATTGAAGGTACTCAGTATGAAAAGTATGAGGAATAGAGAAAGGAGCAAAACCAAATCCATCTTCATGGGACTCACATTCTAGTGGGTGGAAAAGACAATCAACAAACACATATCCCTAGAATGAGTCATTAAGTCTCACAAAACAAAATAAGGCCGACACGATGGGCATGGCAGGGATGGCTAGTGAGAGCCTGCTCTCTATGTTCTAGGTGCTGCGAGGAGACCAGAGCAGCAGCTGGCTCTTGCTGCAGTATCAGAGGGTCCACAGCACCACACACTCTGGCTCTCTTTAAAGGCTGCAGGTAGGCTCTGCTACCTGGATCTCTTTCACTTGGGTTCTCGCCCAAGGAGCAGGCCTGGCCTGGACAACCCTGTCCTTACGTCAGAGGGAAGACTGAGGGAAGAAGTCACACCACACCACCAGGTCCAGCTCGGATGTGGCAGAGGTTAAACATTAATGGGCGGGTGGGCAGGAGTAACTGTGAACAGTTGTATCACCTACCAGCGGGGGGGAGGGTCATGCCCTTAACATTCTCCACACTTCCTAATAGCATATGGTATACTAAGCACCATGAAACTTAGCGTTAATTGTATCCTTTCTACTTGCACCTCTGGC